GCAATGGCGACTTCCTTCCGCACCATGTAGTGGTGGTCAAATCTCAACCTTGGTTGTTCGCCGTAAAGGTACTAAAGGAAGGAGTAGACCTGGCGCCTTTTCTTCGGAGTCAACTTGAAGAACATGTCCCTGTTCGGGTCATAAACGGGCTTGACCACGACATGGTGGAAATCGCATGCATAAGCCCCGGACGACACTTCATGGGTGACATACTGCACGGTGTATTCAAGCTGCGTTGTGTCCCCATCCACAGCCAAGACGTGCCTTCCCTGCTGAAGCAGACTCCACACGACCTGCGCGTGCGGCTTGCCCAAGAACAACACGGCATCCGCCACACCACAGAAGAAAAGAAGCTRATTGCATAACTGATTAGGATTCCGCTCGCCGTCCTTGTACACAGCCCCCCTCTGGCTGAGGTTCCCGATGTCTGCGAAAGTCAAGAACTTGAAAGACTTCTCCTCCACATCCGTGGGTGTCACTTTCTGTTTCCTCCGGAGAGTGGCGGCATCGTCTTCGGCAACAGTTCCCTCGTACACCGGGAGAGTCAGTAGCCGCGGATCCTCGCCTTTGAAAAGGATGTGCATCACATCCGGCTTCTCCCAGACGATGTTTCCGAACTGATGCGTCTTCTTTGATGTCGTCTTCCGAACCCACTTCCCAGTGTAGCATCGGGTAGCCCCAAGCGCAGACAAAGATGTCATGAAGGAGAGGTTCCACAGGCAGGGAACCAATACGACCAATGTCCAGTAGTCCTGACAAACGAAGCCCAGCAACTCACTTAGAGACGTGAATGCCCAAGAGTCCCATTGCGCACGGTCCACAGTTCCGCACAAGTCGAGCACGCAAGTGTGGGAGCGTAGCTGATGCCCTAGTTTTCCCAGCGCCTCCCTATGATCTATGGCACTCAATGGGTCGACGTTAAACTGGGCCAGTGTCGTCAAGGCGCTTGTCCTCGTCCACAAAATGTTGATGCATTCATCAACGCCTCGAGGGCTTTTTTTGCCTTTGGCACGATCTCCAGTGATCACCGAAAGGACGACACGCTTCTACTCCGCCGGAAAATGCTGGTCGTTAACGAGGGTCGCCGTTCTCTTGATGTTGTTGTCGTTTTGACACCCGAGAAACTGAGGGCACTCGTTGACGTACGAGGTGTCCGTGAAAAATTTCCTGCTCTTGTTCCAAAGTTTGTCGTCGAGACCTTTGTCCTTGAACTCTTCAAACAGTTGGCGCTTGGACCTGAAGAACGTGGAGTTGGCATTCCACTCCCGCTTATCCATTTCCTCGTACTCGAACTCCACGTAGTGCCACAGCCTCAGCATAACCCGGTCCATTTTTATTATGTCGACCATCTCCTTCACACTGAACTTCCCCTGCTCGGCCAAATTCTTGCTACTCGTTTGAACCCACACGACGTTAAGGTTCAAGACGCCATTCAACAGCCTTTTCTTCTCGTGGTCCGTCAAGTCCACCAATTCCTTCCAGTAGTGGACATCCGGCTCAGGAACTTGGACGTAGTAAGTTTTCTCC